AAACTTAACAAAGAAATAAAGGAACTAACAGAAGTTATGACCCAATTGGTTTTAACAGACATCTATAGAACATTCCATCCAGACACCAAAGAATATACCTTCTTCTCAGTGCCACATGGGACCTTCTCTAAAATCAACCACATACTTGGCAACATAACAAATGTCAACAGGTACAAAAATATTGGAATAACCCCGTGTCTTATCAGACCACCAGTTTTTAAAGTTAGGCTTCACAACAACACAAATTGCAGAAACCCTACAAACTCATGGAAACTGAACAACACACAATTGCACCATTCCTAGTTTAAGGAAGAAATGAAGAAATTAAAGATTTCCGAGAATTCAATGAAAATGAAGACACAACATACCCAAACTTATGGGACACTTTGAAAGCAGTACTAAGAGCAAAGTTCATAGCACTAAGTGCCCACATGAAGAAACTGGAGAATAGTCATACTAGAGAAATAACAGTACAACTGAAAGCTCTAGAACAAAAAGAAGCAAACTCACCCTAGGGGAGTAGATGCCAGGAAATAATCAAATTGAGGGCTGAAATCAATAAAGTAGAAACTAGGAAAACAATACAAAGTATCAATGTAATAAAGCACTTTTAAGAAAGTAACTAAATGTGGGCTGATATCATCAAAATGTGCCATAGGCATACATGGAAAAGTTCTTATGGGAACCCTTTGTTTTAACGGTTAATGTATTATAACAATAATTTAAAAATTCTGATTTCTTCTAGAGAATATCAATTTCATTGTTTACTGGTAGATTAATATTTCTGGGGATCATATGGGATGGAGGGAATGATGTCTATACAGGTCTAAATAGGTGGAAAAGAGAAAATTCTGTGAGATACTGCATGCATATTCTTCTATGTGAGGCAAAATGAATAAAAAAAACACATCCTTCCATATCGGGGCATGGCATTTCAAGGGCAAGAATCCTTACTAATTCACTCATATGTATGTGCATTCATACAGCAAGGACATCTGTTCCACTATGTTTATAGCAGCATTATTTGTAATAGCCAGACCTGGAGGCAACCAAGATATCCCTCAACTGAAGAGTGGATAGACAAAATGTGGTACATTTACACAATGGAGTGCTCCTCAGCAGAAAAAAAACAATGGAATCTTGAAATTTGCAGGCAAATGGATGGCACAAGAAGAAACTATCCTAAATGAGGTAACCCAGTTACAAAAAGACAAACATGGTATGTACTTACTCATATATGGATTTTGGACATGAAACAGGGGAATGCCAACCTACAATCCCACCACCAGAGAGTCTGGGATACAGGGAGGAACCTAAGAGAGATATGCATGGTATTCCAGAGAAGGGGAATGGGACAGGATCTCCTGAGTAGACTTGGAACATGGTTGGAGGGGACGTGGAGCTGGTGAAAAGTTAGGGGGAGAATAGCAGGTGAGAGAAGCACATGGGGGAGCAGGAAGTTTGAGTCAGGGGAAGAATAGAGGAGAGCAGGATGGGAGATACTATAATAGAGGGAGTCATTATAGGTTTGAGGAGAGATCTAGCACTAATGAGATTTCTAGAGATCTACAAGGATGACAATAACTGGCAACCTAAGCAATAGTGGACTATCTTAAATGCCCTTCCCGATAATGAGATTGACGACTACCTTTTATGCCATCCTAGAGCCTTCATCCAGTGGCTCATGGAAGCAGAGGCAGACACCCACAACTAAACACTGAACTGAACTCCTGGAAACCAGTTACAGAGAGGAAGAAGTGATGAGCAAAGGGGTTACAGAAACCCACAGAAACATCTGATCTGAACAAAAGGGAATTCATGGACCCCAGACTGATGGCTGAGAGGCCAGCATGTGACTGATCCACACCCCCTGGAAGTTGATGTCAGTGAGGAGGCCCTGGCAATCTTTGAGGCATCAGGTAGTAAACTAGCATCTGAATGGCATCTGAATGGACTTTGGGAACCCATTTCACATGGAGGGAGGCTCTCTCTGCCTGGACACATGGGGGAAGGCTTTGGCCCTGCCCCGGATGATATGACAGACTTTCAAGATTCCCCCCCCCCAAGGGCCTCACCCTCCCTGGAATGTCAAGTGGGGATTAGGTGGGGGGATAGGGGATTGTGGGGTAGGGGAGGAGGGAAGGAACTGGGATTGACATGTGAAACAAGCTTGTTTCTAATTTAAATTTAAAAAGAGAGAAAAAAGAAAGAACTATGACAAAGAGAAGCTCAGAAAACCTAAGGTTCACTAAGTATAATGGCTACATTGACCTGACCCAGGTGAGCTCACAGTCAAGGATTAAATTCCAGTCTTCCTGAAACAACCAGGGTGCTCATACATCACTTATTTGGGTCATCTGAAGATTTGGGTGTTGTCCAGCACACAGGCAGAGGTGTGGACCAGATGGCATCTTAGCCTCCTCATCATCCTTGAAGTTGGAAGTTGAGATTAGTAGACTTGTCATTGAATCCAGGAATCAATTCCTGACCTCACTCTGTTACTAAGACTTTTGGAGCAACCTGACCAGGAGAACAGATGTCACAGTTGGTGAAACAGCCGCAGGTCTCCAGGTGATGTCGCCACAATACCACACTCTGGCAGTCTCAGAGTATGAGTTCCTATTGGGTGGCTTGAGTCATTAGGAGTAGCCACTAATATGATGAAATATCAGTGGTAATGTTAGTTAGAGGATTTAGTAGTCTTAAAATAGCCAGTGTATGCATCATCCCATAATGAATTAATGAAGATAAGTACACAACACAGAAAAGGTTGTCAAATGATTTATTGTAGTCTTATGTAAATAGCATAGCACATGGAAAGTAAAATTCGGAGGGGCTGTAATGAACAGACATGGCAGGGAAACATGCTCAGCTTGTGTTGCTTGGGGAAGCATTTAGTACCAAGTATAGAACACAATGCAATTCAGCTAAGAACATTCCGTAGAGAAGGTGGAAACTGTTTAACATTCAAGCTGAGGCAAAGGCCCAATATCTGATAGTACTTTGGGTTTTTACCTTAAACTGTAGGGGGTCCCAAACAAGATTCAAGCAATTGATGTAATATAGGAGAAGAGGAAAGTCCTTTCTTTCATCTGATATTTAAAAAGAATTCAGGAAAATTACTTAACCTAGTGCAAACATTTTGACAAGGAGGGTTAGAACCTGTAAAAGGTGAAGGCTAAGAAAAATTGAGACAGACACTGATACATAAATAAATAGGCAGCTAGTTAATTAGATTATAGGTAGATAGGTGCATAAATGGCAGATGCATGCATTTTAGACAGATGTTTAGCTGGCAGATAAGAAACTGACGGATAAAAGTTAATAGCTTAAAAAAGATGATAGAGAGATGAAAGATACATGCATAATAGATAAGAAGACAGATGATAAATAACAGATAATGGATAAGTAGGCAGATAGAGTCATGGTAATTTGCAGTCATATATCTCTCTAAGTCCATAGAGAGGTAGATATTATCTCTCTCACATTTCCCTGGTGCTCATCATGCCCAAATGACTTGGGTATTATACCCAAAGTCTTACCTTCCCCCTCACCTGACACATTCAGACTTTGATTTTCCAACTCTCTGGGTTTAATCAGTTTCTAAAGAATATCATAGTCTGACTATCTCTTCAATTGTCTTGTTCTAGATTAAACATCCAATATTTCCTCTGAAAATCCCAAAACAGGGCGTTCAATCATCTTCCTTATGCAAACTAAAGAACAGTAGGTACTTGTAAAAAACAGGTGAATGAAGGCAACACATAGGCCTAAAAAACCCAGCTTAAACACATCCTGTGAATTAGTAAAGATTTTTGCCCTTGAAATACCATGCCCCTGATAGGGAAGGATGTGTTTTTTTTATCCATTTTGCCTCACATAGAAGAATATGCATGCAGTATTTCACAGAATTTTCTCTTTTCCACCTATTTAGACCCCTATAGACATCATTCCCTCCATCCCATATGATCCCCAGAAATATCAATCAACCAGTAAACAATGAAACTGATATTCTCTAGAAGAAATCAGAATTTTTAAATTATTGTTACAATACATTAACCTTATAAAACAAGGGGTTCCCATAAGAAATTTTTCATGTTTGCCTATGGCATATTTTGATGATATCAACCCACATTTAGTTACTTTGTTAAAAGTGCTGACTCCTTTCCTTTATTCAGCAAGTTAAACATGTTGTTTGTTAAGAGTTTTCCACCATCTAATGTCTTTAGAAGGTTAATTTATTCTCTCATATCTTTTCAAAATATAGTACTGACTTTCACTACACACACAAGTAATTCTCTTCTATATTTGAAAGTTATCCTTAAAAGGAAAATTTTACAGATCAAACAAGTTTCAAAACCTCACATGGTGCCTCTGCAGACTCAAATTCATCATCCAGGATTTTGCCTGTGTACATGTCTGTGTGACACAGCCACACAGATTGGGAGAAGGTAGACAGCTTCATAAGTCGCCAGCTTAAACACTGTAGTTTTGAAAATTCCATCCAGATTGAACTTGATTAAAAGGCTATCTGGGGGTTGGGCATTGGTGGGCGCATGCCTTTAATGCCAGCACTCAGGAAGCAGAGGAAGGTGGATCTCTGTGAGTTCGAGGCCAGTCTGGTCTACAGAGCGAGTTCTAGGACAGCCTCCAAAACAATACAGAGAAATCCTGTCTCAAAAAAACAAACAAAAAAGAGAAAGAAAGAAAGAAAGAAAGAAAGAAAGAAAGAAAGAAAGAAAGAAAGAAAAAAGGCTATCTGAACCGAAAGTTACACTAGGAATAGGAAGCAAGTGAACAGTTCCAAAGTCACATGCCCTTCAGGTTTGTGAAGTCAAGGATGCTAGGAATCCACTTCCTTCTCACTTCATACCAAGACTGTAGTCCATGCTTGAGTTTTCCTGAATCCCCTGGAGGCTGGTGAGGAACATCTGGTCATCACCAGTCACAGGATCAGGTGGGTGTCAGGAGGCAGGGTCATCCATGCCCAGCCACTGTCTCACAGGCTAGGACAGAGCCCAGGATCAGGATAAAAGGAGTGAGGAGCAGATCTCATCCATCCATTCCTCCTGAGGCACCCACGGATCTTGTACTTGGTAAGTGTCTATTGGAAGAAAGAACATGGGCCATACCAGAGGGAAGAGGAAAGCAGAGCTGGAGGAGAGAACCACAGAGTCGGGAGGCCATTTTTACAGGGCACGTAGGGTGGTATGGAATGATGGGTGAGAAAAGGGGGTTCTGATACCCATAGGAGGAATGAGCAGTCAGGGCCCATTTGACGTCGAGCTCTGCAGAGAACAAGCATCTTTTTAGTGAAGCAGGTCTCTGAGTAGCACGAGTCCAACTTCAACTTTAGAAAATTTATGGACTCTGAAACACAGCTGTGGCCCAACATCCAAGGGAAGAGATGAATGTAGAAGAGGGTATCAGGTTCTCTTTGCAGTGAGGTGCATTTTCCCTGAAATGATGCTTTAAATGGGAAATGTCAGAGTCTGTGATTCAGACCCCTTTCATCAGAACCAGCTTAGCTTGTCCTTCCCTGCTGGACACCACATATCAGTTTTTACCTGGATTGTGTGGGTTTCTGAAATTCCCAAGAGACAGTGATGAGCATACTACAATGGTAACCACTAGAAATAGTGTTCCTATGGTTATTGTGGATGTTACAGACTCAGGGTAGCCTCAGGGCCCTGGGTCTGACTTGTGTGTGATTCTCCCACAGCTCCTGAGCACTCACCAGCTGAGATGTCCTGCCAGCAGAGCCAGCAGCAGTGCCAGCCCCCTCCCAAGTGCCCTCCCAAGTGCCAGACACCAAAGTGCCCTCCCAAGTGCCAGACACCAAAGTGTCCTCCAAAATGCCCTCCTAAGTGCCCCCCTGTGTCATCCTGCTGCAGCCTGGGGTCTGGTGGCTGTTGCTCCAGCTCTGGTGGCTGCTGTGGCTCCAGCTCCGGGGGCTGCTGCAGCTCTGGGGGTGGCGGCTGCTGCCTGAGCCACCACAGGCCCCGCAGATCTCTTCGTCGCCATCGTCACAGCTCTGGATGCTGTAGCAGTGGGGGCAGCAGTGGCTGCTGTGGTGGCAGCAGTCAGCAGTCTGGGGGCTGCTGCTGACCTGCGTCCCAGGACTTCGGACAAGTTGTGGAGAAGGAAGCCAAGTACAGCAGAAATGTCCTTGACTGCCACTCTTCCTCCCTGCTGTGTTCTATATTCTGGGCTGTCTGACATCCTGTGCAAAATGCTTACTTACCTTTAAAATGACCAGACTGCAACAGTAAAGTCTCCCCTTTCAAGCCTGACTAAAGTTGTGTTTATTTTTGGCAACATCATCCTTCCAAGTCAGTGTTAGCCACTCAGAATTGTAGTCCTTGTCAGTAATACAGGTCAGCCAATTCCCACGCAGTGGGAGCCCAATGGGGAACATGAAAGAGCTCAGATGCTTGTGCTTTCTTTGTTTGCACCGGAAAGCCTACAGACAGAGTTGCATAGACCAAATCTAAGAAGAAAATGAGAGGCAGACATAGCTAAGGAGATAGGGTGGTGGATGGTGGGAGGATTTTTCTCACCAATGCTTTCCAAATGGCAGGTCTGAAGTGGCCTTCTTGTAGCCCTTAGAACGGGAAAAGTGAGGCACATGCAGCCAGCACTTATGGGAGTCACTCTGGGTCAGCCGTGTACTCACATAGGCAGGCCCGGTGTCACAGACTGAAGGGAGACATCAAGGGCAGGATAAATAGGCTTAAGACTAGTGAATGTCTACCCACCAGCTCTAGTACTCATGTGTTGCGTGTGATCCAGGTGTGTAGTTACTGGAAAGAACTTCCTGACAGGGGAGTTGGACATAGTTCTAAGCGCAGAGGTGGGAGTTGGGAATGCAGAATAAAGAAATGCCTCGAAAGTCTGCTGAAGGCCAACGGATCCTAAAGCATCAGTGTTCTGACAACGCTGGTGACCGTCTCCACGTACACAGTCCTAACACATTTGACTGCTTCACAGTCTTGGGCCTCTGACATTGCACATAAAATGTGTTCCTTTTCTTGCCTGGAGCCTGTGTTGCGAATACTTAGTCCCCAGACAGTGATGGTCAGAAGCGTATTTGGGGCCGACAGTCACTGAGACCTGTGGCTCTCACTCTAATCGGTGTCCCTCAGGAGATCAGGAGTGGTGCCTGGGTGTCTGTACCAAAAGCACTGAAGAAGAATCATCATAAACAAGGCGTATCAGTTGGGCCAGCGAAAGAGATGGAAAAGACTAATGGCTTCAGAAAGGACAGCACCTGGCCTGGGATCACTGCACCAGAAAAAACAGAGTCGTATCCCCCCAGTGGACAATCAGCTTGGAGCCCCACAATGTGCAATGACTGTGATTGGTGACAGTGTGATAAGCCTTTGCATCCATTACTCTCATGTGTGTAGGTGTGTGTTATGTTATATGTCTCACATGTACATATGGAAAGTACTTACTTAAAGATATTGGGAAGTCATCCACATGAAGGGATGCTCTCTCAGGCTGGACACATGGGGGAGGGCCTAGGCCCTGCCCCAGATGAAATGAAATACTCTGGAGATCTCCCACGGAGGGCCTCACTCTCCCTAGGAAATGGTGTGGGGATTGGGTGAGGGGCTGGGAGGGGTTGGTGAAGGGGCAAGGGAAGAGGGGTGGGAGAGGGAGCTGGGATTGGCATGTGAAGCAAGCATGTTTCTAATTTAAATAAAAAATATAATAAAAAAAAGATATTGGGAAGTGCCTCCCTGAAGAAGTCTACTTTCTTCCTTACTGAAGGTTTCTAAAATGTGTATTGACCGGACAGGGGGTTCTTGTTATCATTGGCTTCCTCTGTTGGAAAAGATCATCTGTTTCATAAAGGCATACTGAGGAGCCAATGAGATAATGTGAAATGTTTGGCAAACTGTTTCAGAGACAGTTTCCTCCATGGCTTATACTGGAGAAACGTGTAACGTGTATGGAAATGACTGTATGAAGGCAATGAAACAGGACTGAGTCAGCTCTGTGGGACTTGTACCCTGCTTCAGCTCCAGCATGATCACCTACCAAGAGCCATCACCTCACCTCCTCATCCAACCAGCCGGGTCACCCTTAATATCTCTCTGTCTAAGTCACCCCAAAATCCTCCCATGGAGAGTCAGCACTGGGGACTGATCTGCAGGTGACTGCGGCTGCATCCTAAGCCAAAGCAGACTAAGGACAGACTCTGGGTGCTACAGCTAGGCACATCAGCCTCCAGCTGCTGTGACTGAAGAGCGACCATAAGTTTGGAGACTTTTGCTGAATGCACTTTATTTCCTCATCCATGTGAGTTGGCTTGAGTGTCTGAGTCATACACAAGAGTTTCGTCTCTGGGTAAGGTGTCTAGTGTTTTGGGGATTAAAAAATGTATTCTTTCAAAACCGTTAAAAACCACATTCCCCTTGCTGTAGCTCTCCCTGTGAACCCTAAAATACAGCTGTCGGAACTCTTCCCTGTTTTACTGCGTGTATTGTGGGACCCGCTCCCCAAGTGCCCATTGGGCAATTCAGTTTTCTTGCTTATATTGTCATTGTCTAGTTTCTGTCTCATGCTGTTGGCACCGAGGTTTCAGTAGACAGAAGATCAAGTCAAACACTAGGAGTGTGAATGTGGGTTTCATGAAGTATGTTTGTCTTTTATTACTAATTCTGTGTTTTGCCTTTAAATCAAGGCGCTGCCTCTGTGAGTTCAAGGCCAGACTAGTCCACAGAGTTCCAGGACATACAGTGCTACACAGAGAAATTTTTCTAGAAAAAAAACAATAAATAAATAAATCAAAGTGCTGAAGTAAGACTGAGGTATTTTTGTGTTTTAACTTGTAATTCTCTTCACATCTTGATTCTCAGACACAGGCAGGAAATCCGCATTGCCATCTGTTTCCCCACCCTTTCCCATACTTAAGACCTTAGATCCTGTCCCTTGGCCTAGGAAATCTCCAAATCCATTTTCCTACTGAATTTATAAATATACATGCACATATTAAAACACAAACAAAATTCACACAAAAGGTAAAATTACTAACTTTAACATAACTAAATTTTTTATCTGTGCTTCTGCATGGTTCTACTTGTGTGTATGACACATGTATGTGTTATTCGAGTGTGTCCCTATTAGTGAGCATACATGTGTGTGTGTGCATGAGTGTGGAGGCCTGAGGTTAAAGTAATTAGAGATGCCACTAAAACTTACTAAAGAAATTCGTTGATTTATTCACTCAGATCATTATTGGGTTTGATAAATTTCATACCATTTTTTGTGAATTTATTCTGATATCAGTCAAATGAGATAAAAATACAATAATTAAGACAAGTTTAGGATTATTCACTACAAAAAATATCCACAAGGGGATGGACTGAAACATACCGTACAAAAGCAACACTATCAAAAAAAAAGAAAATTCCAGGTACTTTTCCCAATTACTTATAAAACATCATTGTATGTGTGTATATATGTGTGCCTGTCTGTCTATAACAACAACAACAATGAAAAAGGAGAAAAGGAGGCCATGAATTTGAAAGAGAGCCAGAAAGGGTATTTTGGAGGCTTGCGAATATGAGAATGATGTAATTATAATATGAATTAAAAAAAGAAATAAAATCTCTTAATCAATGTCAAGAGAACTAGAAGAAGATAAAAAAAACACATGCATAATACATCCAGGGGCCATACAACGTCAGAGAATGTCTAAATAGCCAAGGAAGAAGTCATGCCAAATCTACAAAACAGAAAATACTGGCTGTTGATTGGTCTGTAGTGCCAATAAATCAAAAATGCAGCCTTATGATCAATCAAATAATACAATTTTAAACAATGTTATTTAAGTAGAAACTGAACCTTCCTTCAGACTGTGAGATAATGGCATCATTATTTATGACTATTCAAAAGGTTGAAATGAGAATAGAAATGAGAAAAACAAATGAGAAATGACTAATTTCCTTGATGCTGACTCAGGAGCACAGAAAACAAAAAGCTCATTATTTCTTGAATTTCTTCTGCTTAGAACTCAGTTGTGTTCTTGCATTCTTCAACATGGAGAAAATTAGTCATTATAATAGAGAGACAGTATGCCACATAGAAATCCCAAGAAAGAAAGCAGTTGACAAGTCAAGATGGTTACACTGACCTGAATGACAGGTAGGCCTGAAAAGCTCACAGTCAGAAACAGATTTTCAGCCTTCCTCAAGCAGGGCTACATGGGTCAGCTGATGATAAAGCTGTGCTCCGGCATAGAGGCAGAGACATGAGGCAGATGGCATCAGGATCTCATCATTCTGGAAGTCAGGAGCTGAGCTGAGCAGAGCTGCCATTGTGGACACCCAGGAATCACTTCCTGACCTCTCCCAGTTACTAAGACCGTTGGAGCAGCCCGAGGAAGAGAACAGCATTCTTGTCAGGTGAGATAGTGGCAGATCCCTAAAGTCATGTGGCCTCACATATCTCGCCATGCATATGTCAGAGACCAGCTCCCTGAAGGGTTATCTATATCATAAAGAATAGCTATTTATAAATGAAAATATCATAGATAGACTTGGTGAGAAGATTTAAGATCATAAACTATTCAATGGGCTAGATGGGTACTGGTAAAGAAATACAAAACCCAGGTCAGGTTTTCAAGAAGGTTATTATAGCTTCACGTCAATGATATGGCACATGAAAGACTCTTAAAATTAGGTGTGATGATCCATGTGCAAAAGGCATATAGGACATTAAATAGACAAGACCAGGTAAGAGATTCACCACCTCTATTAAAAGTAAAACACTAACTACAAAAATCAAAGAAAGTATGTGAAAAGACATCTTCTATACAACCAGTAAACAATGAGCACTTATAAGTTCTCTCTCTCTCTCCATATATACACATATATGTGTGTGTATAGATAGATATATAATTGGCATAATGTATAGGCATATATATCAATAAATTTAATGTAGCATATAAATGGACTCTAGTACAGAAATAACCTGATCATTTCAATAGTCACAGAAAAAGCTTTTGAGAATCCAACATTCATTAACAATAAAAGGACTGAAGAGCCTAGGAATAGAGGAAATTTGTCTCATCATAATAAAGAGCATATGTGACAAACCTGTACCCCAAATTACACTAAATGGAGAAAACCTTAAAGTATTTACACTAAACAAAAACGCATAACATCCAATTAGTCTTCTGTTACTCAATACAGTGCTTGAACTATTAGCTACACTAATAAGAGAAAGAAAGGAAATATGATTAAAAATACATCAAAGCACCTTCATTTACAGATGACACGACTCTATTTATAAGAGACCCTAAAAATTCCACCAGAAATCCCTTAGACTTGAAAAATACTTCAAGAAATGTGGCCTGTTACAAAATTAATATCAACAAACCAGTAGCTGTCATGTATAGCAATAACAAGGATATCAAGTTGAGAAAAAATCCTCAGAAGAGCCCCATTCACAGTTCCTTAGAAAGCATCTTGGAATATATAGTCAAGGAAGTGGAAGATCTCCACAATGAAACTAAAAAGACTGAAAAAAGAAACTGAAGAATATACTGGAAGATGGAATGGACTTTTATCTCATGGATTAAATAATTAATATTGTAAAAATTATTTACTGAAAACAATCACCAGATTCAATACAATCTCCAACAAAATTTCAACGCCATTTTTCACTTAAAAAGAATCTTAAAATTAATTTTCAAATGCAATAAAATGCAGATAGTCCAAAACAATTATAGCACAAAGAATGACAGAATTATCAACTATGATGATATTTCAAGTTAAGCTACAGGGTCATAGTGACAAAAACACCATAGTACTGACAAAAATGAAGACATGTAGATTATTGGAATCGAACAGAGGGACAGATACAAAACCATGTAGCCAGACTCACCTGATTTTTACAAAGATGCTAAAATGCACAATTGAGAAAAGTCCATCTCTCCTGAAAAAATTGTATCATCACATGAAAAGATTTAACTAGACACTTATCTCTCACCTGCATAAACATCAACTCCAGGTGGATCAGAGTCCTGAAAATGCAGGGTAAATACTTCAAAATATTGGCAAAGGCAAGGAATTTCTCAACGGGACTCTGTTGGTCAAGAAATAAAGCAAATATTTGACAAACTAGACCTTATGAATTTAAAAAGATTCTATACAGAAAAGGAAATAGTTAAGTGAAAAGGCAGTCCACAAAATGGGTTAAAATCTTTGCTAGCTATATGGATTAATATCTGTGATGTACAAAAAACTCAAGAAGTAAACTACTCAATCAATAAATGAGCTAATGAAGTTCATAGACATTTATCAGAAAACGAAAAACAAATGGCTGCTAAACATTTGAAAAATATAAATTTGATAGCCATAGGAGAAATGCAAATCCAAATAGAAACTGTGACTCCATCTTACCCCAGTGATAATTCATGAAGTGCCCATCCCGCGTGCAGAGTCAGTCATCAGGGAATCTGGGGGAGGGAGTGAGAATGGGGGGACAAGTGACAGGAGAGACAGAGACAAGACAGGATTCTGATCAGGCCTTGTTTATTAAAAGTACCAACAGGGCTTAAGTGGGGCAGGTAGCAGAAGGGCAGGGAACAGAAGTTCTCCTTGGCAGGGTATGTTCCAAGGACACAAGTCTGCAGCTGGGGTAGCCTGGACTTCAGGCCAGGAGACAGAAAGATAGGAGAGCCTGGATTGCAGGCCTTGAAAATATGCTGTACAGGAAGATAAGCAGACACAGAGACATAGAAACTTAACTAAGTGTTAGTCTCTAAGAATACAGTATGAATATTAAGATAGCTTTTATTATGCTAACCTTATTTAGGACCCTCCACAATGAAGTTATAAAAATTGGGCCTGTTATGACCAGCTATATATTTCTGGACATTTACTCAAAGAACTCAAAGTCAGCAAAGCAGATGCTGTACATCACGGTCATAGAATCTTTTCCATATATAAATTATATGTCTATATAATATATATAACAATAGAGGGATGTGTTAAGAAAATATAGTATACATTGCAATTTTTTCACAATGAGGAAGAAAGTAATGTCATTTCCAGAGAAATAGAAATAACTTAAGATGATTCTAGGTGAATTAATCCAGGTGCAGAAAGACAAATATGCATATTCTTTCATATTTTCCTTCTTATATTGTATATAGACATGTAAAACTGTATATGTACACTTGACATGAAACTCAAAGTGAAACTCTACAAGAACAAATGAGACTGATAATGGTAGTTAGGGTGAAACAAAGACAGAAGGGACTATGCCCAGCATTAAATTTGTCTCATGACCAGGTAGGAGGAAGATAGATACAAAACTGTAGATTTTGTAGTTTAACCCTGAAACTTGGAGTGTTAATCATTTCAGAAAGATCAATGAAGTGATCAGTTGAGCAATGAGAATCTCTTATGGATCCTTTAGTTATGACAGGAATCCACTTCCTCATCTCACGTCTAAATCATATTCCAAGCCGGATGCAGCATCCATGAGTCCTATTGAGGAAAGCTGGTGAGGAACATCTATTTGGTCATCACCAGTCACAGGACCACATGATGTCAAGGGGCAGGGCCCCCCATGCTCAACCACTGTCTCATAGGCAAGGGCAGAGCCAAAAGTTAGAATAAAAGGACTGAGGGACAGAGCACCTCCATTCACTCACCTCCTGAGGTACCAACAGACCTTGTGCTACCTGTCATCTTGGTAAGTGGCCACTGGAGGACCTGGAGCATAGTCTATAGAGAAGGGAAGAGTTGGGGAGTGGGAGTGGGCTGGGCAAGGCCATAGAGCTCAGAGACATGGTGGAAGAGCAGAGAGTATAGAAAAAAATTGAAGGTTGGGTTGCTGTAGTAGAGTAAAGGGATTCTAAAACTCACAGGAGGTATTAGAAGTAACTGGGTAACTGGAGAGGATCATTTACCCTCCAGTAGAGCTGTCCCTCAGGATGGGAACCTGAAATACAGAGAGCTGTGGACCTTGACAGGCTTTGAGGGGGGTGGAGGAGGGGAGGGGAGAGCTCCCCTCTACTAACACAGCCCTGAGACAGCCTGCAAAGAAAGACCAAAATTGCTTAGAAAACACGCAGAGCTGTGGTTCTGGAATTTTATCACATGCTGCTCAGAATTTTTAAGATACAGCAACAACACAAGACTTGCCATGTCAACCAGTTCATAAGAGGTGTTGAGATGAGTTCAAAATTTCTTGAAAGGAAGAACCAGACCTGGTTCACTTCTGCAGGAATGGATAAGCTAGATTTTTTTTTCATTAAAGGGAGTAAGATCACTGATCCATAATCACCATTTTCTTCTCTGACATCATTATCTCATCAGTTTAGGATGCTTAGGGGATTGATGGAAACCTCATAAGAATCTCCATATGACTTATGATGGTAGTAGATGAAGACCAATGGCATTGTAAAAGATGTCAGTCAGAGAAATGTAAGTGGAGGAGGAAGTTATTCTGAATATGCCTTCAGACTGTGAAATATCTCAAATTAAGGGTTACAGGGTTTTTAAAAAGAACAAGCACCTCTTCTCTCCTGTCAAAACTTGTAAGATAATTTGTCTCTTTGGGCCAGTACTGCAAGAGCCTTGGGGTTTGTTAGAATAAAACTACTGAATATGGAGTTTCCATGAATAACAGTGATATTTAGAGGTGGATAGGATGCCCTAGGATCCTGGGTCTGATTTGTGTGTTACTTTTCCACAGCTCCTGAGCACTCACCAGCTGAGATGTCCTGCCAGCAGAGCCAGCAGCAGTGCCAGCCCCCTCCCAAGTGTCCTCCCAAGTGCCAGACACCAAAGTGCCCTCCCAAGTGCCAGACACCAAAGTGTCCTCCAAAATGCCCCCCAAAATGCCCTCCTAAGTGCCCCCCTGTGTCATCCTGCTGCAGCCTGGGGTCTGGTGGCTGTGGCTCCAGCTCTGGTGGCTGCTGTGGCTCCAGCTCCGGGGGCTGCTGCAGCTCTGGGGGTGGCGGCTGCTGCCTGAGCCACCACAGGCCCCGCAGATCTCTTCGTCGCCATCGTCACAGCTCTGGATGCTGTAGCAGTGGTGGCAGCAGTGGGTGCTGTGGTAGCAGCGGGGGTAGCAGTGGGTGCTGTGGCAGCAGCGGGGGCAGCAGTGGCTGCTGTGGCAGCAGCGGGGGCAGCAGCTGTGGTAGCAGTCAACAGTCTGGGGGTTGCTGTTGATCTTTGTCAGGAGGACCTCAGACAAGCAGTGAAAAAGGAAACCTCCGGAGGAAGACTGCCTGCTCTCTCTTCCTCCTGTCGTGGGCCTAGAGATGCTGAAATTATGTGGAAAATTCTGAATGCCCTAACAAGCAGGGTAACTCATTTTCTGTATTACAAAATAATAAAATCTTCCTTGCAATCTTCTTCAGACCCTTAGCCATTTTCACTATCATCATCCCTACGTGTCAGTGATTGTAACTGGTGTTCCATTTTACTCTGGGTGACAGAAATGTGGATCAGGAATGCGGGTCAGAGAGCCATCCATCTGATAGGGTGTGCATAGTGACCTCTCAATCACCCTTTCTTGTTCACAATGAGGACTAGTCTACCCCACATGCTGCCTATTGCTGTTATCATCCTCATCTACATACAGATGTGTGCTTTCTGGTGTTATATACTTGGCTCTACTATGTTCCTGAGTACTGGGATAGAGTTTCTAAGAACTCACACATGTATCCTTTGCAGTGGCTGTAACACCTCACTAAATGAAACTGAGTCTCTCTCGATAAACTTTGATTCTCAGGTTTTTTTTATTAAAAAGACCTGTAAAGGTATAATTTTGCTCATTGTTCTAGTATATTGACTTAAATTCGAGTCTTTTACATTGTTGAACCAAGTCAAGAAGATCAATGCTTATCAGAATCCAAATGTGCTGACAATTTAAAATCCAGTTGTAAATCAAGTTGATGGAAAGACTTCTATTGGACATCATATTCAGCAAAAATCTTGACCATGTGATCTCAAGTAGGTAAGCTCTGCTCCTGAGTAGATTCCTTGCAGTGAGGGGGTGCAGCAGGATGCTGTCCATTCCCCCATGTTGCTTTTGTAACAACCCAAGGAGGAAAATAGTGACAGCCAGACAGTCCTGGGACAGATCTCTGTGGGGTGATGTGTCCAGTTACACATTTCTGCCAGCTGGGGTCATTGCACAAGTAGCTTAAGCATTACACAGGTAGAAAAAAATAGTGACTGCACAGTACCATAGGAAAGTAGATCATGCACCTGCCAGCAAAGTCTGCCTGCTCCTACAAACTGATGAAATATAATGGTTATAATGATGCTATCTTTTAGTATGGAAGGTTTGTGCTTGAAACAGTTTGATCAGTTAATTAAACTGTCTTATTTAATACTCTGAAAATTCAGGAAAAGAGGGTCATTCAAATCTATATTTTATAGTTGAAGAACCAAGTGAGAAAAGTTAAGGAGTCTGTACTAACTTTGATATTTGCTACTAGAACTGGAATGGTGTCTGAGTATGTCTGACTCAAAAACTACAAACCTAACATCTAGGAAAATTTTCCCAAGTTATTTTTAAAAGAAGGCTTTGGGAGTGCACGTTTCCCATAATTTATATCTAATGACTATGCCACATTTTAAACAAACAAGTAAATAAATAAACAAGTGAATAAAATGACATCCTCTGAGAACAAGATGGAGCACATGTAAAAGCCCTGTAGGCATGCACATTTCTTTGTTCAAACCTTAATGCCTGGTGTTAATGAAGCAACATTGCAGGAGGGAGATGAGAAACTATGGAAACCAAGCTTAAGAAAGAGAGTAAGGGGCAGGTAACACTGAGCAGATAAGGCAATAGATGATGAAAACAATATACCATCCTATTTAATATTCCATGTTTGGAGCACCTGCTTTGTCCAACCTGCCCACCCTCTACCAAGCAGTGAGGCAGGAATTCCAGGTACCATGTCACAGGAGCCACACAAAAGCAGGAGGCAGGTCTTCTAGTAGGCAGACCCTATCTCACTTGCTGAGGGCAGAATCCAAGGCAGCATAAAGAGTGTTAGTCTAAACAAATTCCATCTACTCACCTAAGGTGCCCAGAGACCTTTTTTCTGCATGCCACCCTACTTACACGTACCTACTGAGAAAAAGCACGATGCTGGGCCTTCTTACAACTTTAGTCAAATACTTAAAGGAAAACAACTTAAGGGTGGAAAGGTCTCTCAAGTCAGGGCTCTCTAGAGGAAAAGAGCTGATAGAATGAATGTATATTACAAAAGAGGATTTATCCTATTTTCTTACAGGATAGGGGTTTGGTAGTCTAACACTGACTATCTGACACCTAGAGAGGCTCAGAACTTGGCAGCTACTCTGTCTGTGTGACTGGATACCTTAGTAGTCCTAGCAGTACACTGAAGGCCTAAAGGATTCCTGGAGAGCCTCTGTTTTCCAGTCTGTATTAGAAGGCTGAACAAACTGGGTTCTGATGGTAGCAATCAATGGCAACAGCAATAAGAATGAGATAGATATGCTCATCATCAGGAAGCAGGCAAGAAGCTGGAGAAATGGCTTAGTTAAGAACACATATCACTCTTACAGAGGACAAATTCTGTTCCCCAAACCCATGTTAAGCAAGTCACAACTGTTTGTAATGCTACTTCCAGATGATCCGATGCCTCTGGTCTCCAGAGATACATGCAGTCTTGAACTCACAACTCACTATGGGAACACACACACACACACACAGAGAGAGAGAGAGAGAGAGAGAGAGAGAGAGAGAGAGAGAGAGAGAGAGAGAGAGAGAGAGAAATGTCGTTTCCTTAGGCCTCTTTTATATCTGGGCCATCACTGGAAGGGGCTGCTTAATCTGAGGATAATCTCCCTCAGTTAATACTTCCTGGAAATACACTACCAATCCATCCATAGGCATCTCAATTAATTGCAGACCTAACCAAGTTGATCATAAATGTGAATCATCATAAAGGATTTGCTTGGGTTTACACTTTGAAGGACAGCTTATCATGATGGGGAAGGATAGTATCAGGAGAATAAGCTGGTCACATTGTATGCTAGTCATATTGGGTTCACAGTTTTTCCTGTTACAAAATTCTAGCCCAAAGAATGGCACTGCCCACATTCAAGTTGTCGTTCCTCCTCAGTTAAACCTTTAGGGAAACACCCTCATATACACACCCAGAGGTGTGTCTCATCTCATAATGCAGAAACAAGACATAGATGTGAAGAAGAGATTTGTAGGGTGGAGGGGGAGGTTGACAGGAGTAAGGAGAGACTGGGAAAGTATCTGAATCCGTGTGTGTGTGTGTGTGTGTGTGTGTGTGTGTGTGATATGACTCTAAGGTTTCTTCATTGACTAGAGGCAATTAATATAAGGGGTTAAATTCAGTTCACTTAAATACTTATCTCTTATCATTACTGAGTCAATATTTCCTTGCAATCCCTTGATGGTTCATTTATCAAGAAAATTTTTCTATAGCATTGCTGATGTCATTGAGAATAATGTGCATGCTATATCTTGATCCTTTTTAAACACTCATTTATTATGTTGTATATATGTGAGTGAAGGAGAGCACATACCACTGCATATATGTGGAGGTCAAAAAACTTTTTAGGAGTTCATTGTTTCCTTCTAGCCTGGGTCCCAGGGATCAAGTAAGGTTTTCAGGCTTGCATGACAAGTACTCTTACTCACTAAGCCATTATCTAGGCCCCATATATTTATATTTATTCTGTGATCTTACTGAGTCTCACTTTATCTATAGACATTCTATAAAACATTCGTATGTATTTATAGTTCTGTTTGAGAACTTTGTCTTATTTAAATGCCCAAAAGCTCAACTATCACATAAAATGAAATGCACATGTTTGTGTATGTTTACTACACATCATTTAGCATATACTGTTTTCCAGAACAATTACAGCAGTTTGTATTGCCAGCCCCAAATACCAATGTATATATTACTAATTCCCACACATCCCAAATAAGCAGCATGTTATTATAAGTCATTGTTATTTTGAAATACATAAAGGAATTTGGCAGGCTGCTTCCACATAAAGGATACTCTACTATTCTCTTTTTATTTATATGCCTATTAGCAAAGCTGAGCATCTGCCTTTGTGTGGGAACACACATGCTCTTAACTATACGTATGAGAGGAAGCAGTCTGTGACTTCTGTAAACCAGGTGATTTTTTTCCTACTGGTGTTTATTATTTAATTTTTGATGTTTCTTTATATATTTAAACTGTTCTTTTCTATAAATTTTTATTTAAATTAAAAAAAACTTATTTTACATACCAATCCCAGTTCTCTTTGCCCCACTAGTACTCCCAGGGCCCCCACCAAACTCCCATCCCACTCCCCACCCACTACCAAGGGGGTGTGACATCCCCCATGAGGGATCATCAAAGTCTGTCACATCATTTGTGGTAGAGAGAATATCCCTCCATAGGGAATGGGATCCCAAAGCCCATTTGTGCACTATGGATAAATACTGGTTCCACTGCCAGAGGCCCCATAGACTTCATAGGCCTCCCAACTGACACCCATGTTCAGGGGGGAGGTCTGGTTCGGTCCTATGCTGGTTCCCCAGCTGTCACACTGAGGTTCATGAACTTCCACTTGCTCAGGTCAGCGCTTTCTGTGGGTTTCCCCTGCATGGTCTTGATCCCTTTGCTCACTCCTCCCTCTCTACCACTGGATTCCAGGAGTTCAACTCAGTATGTGGCTGTGAATCTCTGATTCTGCTTCCATCAGCTATTTCATGAAGGCTCTATGATAGCATTTAAGGTAGTCATCAATCTCATTATAGGGGAAGGGCATTTAAGGTAGCCTCTCTACTATTGCTTAGATTCTTAGCTGGTGTCATCCTAGGGATCTCTGAATATTTCCCTAGTGCCAGATTCCTCCTTAAACCTAGAATGACTTCCTCTGTTAAGGTATCTCTTTTCTTGCTCTCCTCTATTCTTCCCTCTACTTGATCTTCCTGATCCCTCATGTTCTTCTCTCCCCTTCTCCCCTTCTTTTTCTCCTAACTCCCTAGCCCCCCTCCCCGTGCTTCCAATTTACTCAGGAGATCTTGTCTCTTTCTACTTCTCCAGGGGACCATGTATGTCTGTCTTAGGGTCCTCCTTGTTTCCTAGCTTCTCTGGGGTTGTGGATTGTAGACTGGTTATCCTTTGCTCCATGTCTAATATCCACATATGTGTGAGTACATACCATGTTTATCTTTCTGCATTTGGGCTACCTCACTCAGGATGGTTTCTTCTAGTTCCATCCATTTGCCTGCAAATTTCAAGATTTCATTGTTTTTTTTCCACTGAGTAGTACTCAATTGTATAAATATACCACATTTCCTTCATCCATTCTTTGGTTGAGGGGCATCTAG